CCCGACATACTGGTAAATACCACATATACTGGTAAATACCCCGTACACTGGTAAATACCACATATACTGGTAAATACCCTGTATACTGGTAAATACCCCGTATACTGTTAAATACCACATATACTGCTAAATACTAGACATACTGCTAAATACCAAATACACTGAGAAATACTACATATACTGTTAATTATTAGATATACTGCTAAATCCTAGATATACTGTTAAATAGCCAATACACTGGTAAAACCCATGTACACTGTCAAACAGCCCACACTGCACAGAGCTGAAACCATAGAACTAAATATTTCAGCTTATTTCAGTTGTGGTGTCGTTAAAGTTTTTTCCCTTTAACGGTTTTAAAGCGACCTTTTAACAGGATAACGATCCAAATCCACCAATTATTGTCTCAGGAAGAACAAATGAGGGCTACAGAGCAGACTTCTTTTTGAAAATCAAAAAGCAATAAAATAAATAAAAATCAGCAGCTGATGTCGCAGACGGTGGACGTATCACGTCACACCTGTAAGAAATGATCCTGTTTCAGGAGGTGATGAGAGCCTCTGATGCCAAAGGTGTCGTCACTTTAACGTGGTGAAATATGACATCTGTTGGTATTTCTGTTCAATAACTGACTGACGAGGCTAATTAGACTCAGTGTGTTGTTCCAGTTAATCACCTCTAAGTGCAGAGGATGTAACGTTGGTCCAGATATGTGGACAGAGTCGAGGCTTTACTGAAAACCTGATCAGCATCGTGCTGACTATCTTCATGATGCAGAGGAAGCACCAACATTAACAGTAGAAACATGTGACTGTGGTCCAATCCAACACCGAGGACCAGAACCACACTGACCTGCTGACATCTGGGAACTGGACCGGGTAGTTCAGGACCACACACTTGGGGCGGATCAGGCGGTCCAGGTCGGTGGGCCGGTGGTCCGGGATCTTCTTCATGAAGGAGGGGATGGAGGACAAGAAGGAGTCCATGTTGAAGCGCGAGTTGAACACCACCACGTCCGACACCAGGCTGAGGCAGGTAAGGACAGGTGGAACACAGAGTTCATTGGTCTGTCAGCTGAAGGTACTTTAACCCTCCAAAACCCCTAAAGCCTGAAGAAAACTCATCAGAATGACTCCATTTATCAGCCAGAAACTGTATTTTCAGTTTCCTGAAGGTCCTGAAATGCATCATTTGTGAAACATGGTTCCATCACGAAAATCAACCAAATTCAAGCTTAAAGTTTTAAAACATTTCATCAAAATCACTTTGTTCTACGAAATAAAATGCCCAAAATAAACCGTTTGGCTAACAAAGGTTTCTACAAACTTCTTCTTTCCTCGCTCCGACTGATTCTTTGACCAACATTCAGTTTCCTCACAGAGACCAACAGGAAAACTAAGAAAAGAAAAAGAGTAGTTAAATATCTGTAGCATGGGGAGAAAACATGACGACAAAGAGACACGAAACGACAAACAGACAAAAAACAGGTCTAATGCCCAAAAAGTAAAGCGACAAAATAGTCAACACGGGACGCAAATGACCAGAAAACAACTGGACACGTGACATAAACCAGACGTAAGATGACAGAACGGAGACACAAATCTGTCGTATGTGGGGCCTCCATTTCTCCCAGTAATGCAAAGGCCACAAACAAAACAGAAACACACAAAAATAAAGAAAAACGTGGACACAAAACTACAGAAGGGACAGAAAAACGAGACCAGACGAGGATGTGGAGCCTCTGTTTTGTCCAGTAAATGTAGAGTCCAGGTTTTTAGCATTTCATACAAAACAAACAGAGAAATTCAACGTCATTCTGATTTCCATCATTCCAGCGGTGTCCTCCTGCCAGAGGACGTCTCTGATTATTCATGGTTGTCATGTTTCCACAGAGCTGCAGGGTTTATGTTGCACTGAAAAATGAGCCACAGTGAAGAAAAACGTGACAGAAAAACACCCAGAAACTGCGAATAAAAGACGCATAAAGACACCTCATCAGTAGGAATGCTTTCCCTGTCAAACAGTCTCATATGTCAAGTGTTTCTTCCAAGTGAAGCCCGTCGTTCTGATTGATCGGAGCAGATTTGTTCACAGATGGATTATTTTAAAGGACGATTAATTCTGCGTAGCCGCCCGAGGCCGTGTGGACGTCCGGCCTCCGTGAGCTCCGCGGCGTCACCGTGCGGCGTTATAACTCAGATTAGTGCAGCGAGCTGGCCTCCGTCCAATCCCGCGTCTCTTAATGATCCGTGTCGCGTTATTTAATGCCGCCGTAACGACGTTAGCGGAGATGGAGAGGCTGCCGCTTATTGACAAGCCGCCCCGCGGATCAACAACAATCAGTTTTCCGCGGCGAGCTGCTCGTTACCGTTAGACGTCTGATTAATGGCAACTGGAGCCACTTCAATTAAAACACGGGCAGCCCGGGCAATTAACCAATCACGTCGGCCCGGCTCGTTAACCAATCACACGCGGCCTCATGAAGACAAACTGCGAGCGAGGAGACCAACAAACAGCGCTCAGGTTTCATGGTTATAGTTTATTATCCTGAGCAGAGTTTAAACAAGTCAGTAATCCGTTTACACACCGTGTGCTCACGGTGCTGCTCGGCCATAAAAACTCATCTTCAGGTCACTTCAGACAACTGCTGCTCCACCACCTCAGACTTCACTTAGTTATCTGAGACCCAAAGTTCTGTAAAACACTTTGGTATGTTTTCAAATCTGGGAATTTTTATATTTACAGCCTTAAAACAACAACAAAGAAGCCATTTAAAGGTTGAATATCTCCAGAAATAAAACGCCAGCAGCCATCGAATCTGGTGAGAACACAGGACAGTTTAAAATGATGAAAAGACTCCAGCAGAGGACTCGCTTTTCATTATTGGCCTTTGGAAATGGAACAAATTGTTAAAACAGCTCCAGAGAGTTCCTCTAACTGTACATCCATACCTCCAACCATAAATAGTTATTGGTCGACATATCACCAGTTTGTTGAGGCCTCTAGCGTCAGCAGGATTTGAGGTGTGAAGCTGTTCAGACATGACAAACTGCTGTGAGTCGATGTGGACGGTGGTGGTAACGTTGGACACGCTGGACGCTGGTCGGGACGATTCCTGTCACTTCTGAACAGATTTTAAGGTTTTTTTCTTAACAGGCCTTGATTCATTTAAAAAACTGAAAAGTGATTTTAGGTCATTTTTGTCATTTTGGACAAGTTTTAACTTATTTTAGACTATTTTTTTAGTAGTTTTGAACAGATTTTAGACCATTTTTTAAGGTTATTTTGAACACAAAAAACAGTTTCCATCAGATCCGGATGATTGAATTTATTAACAATTAAATTATTATTAAATAATGTTGAATAATTACTACATTTTTGGTGGTTGAAAATGGAATCAAACACAAAATGTAGATGGTACTGTGGCCCCAGAAAGTGTTATGGATGGATCCTTATTTACTACTGAAAATACAGTCTTTGGTCAACATTTCACCAACTTTAAAGCCTCTAACATCAGCAGAATCTGATGTGAGGTGAGTATGACAAGGGTCCAGTCAACCAAAGACTATTTCTAATGTTCTGGGCCACAATATCATACTCAGTTAAAAACATTTTGCACTTTATTCATCCGATAATTACAAATGTGTCCTCTGCTGGAGCCATGCAGTCACCTGGATCTGCTGGAAACTATTCTGTCTGCGTCCAAAACAACTTGAAACTCGTCCCAAATGACTGAAAATGTGTTCAAATTCACTGCCAGTTTGTTCATAACTACTCAAAAACAGCCCAAAATGACTTGAAAATGGCTTAAAAGGACTCAAAAACTGGAACCTGGTCCTGTCACACTTCACACATCAAATTCTACTGACGTCAGAGTCTCCAAAGTTGGTGAAATGTCGACCAGAGATTGTATTTAATAGGATATATGGATCTATCCATAGCTACACGTTTACACGATATCACCCTGGTTGGAAACCTTTTGTTTTATTTTTAAGGGCCGTTCATTAAACACGTGTCCTCTGCTGCTCACCACATCTCAAGGCTTTCAGACTGATATTCATGGAGACACTGAGCCAATAGATGAGCTTTCCAGGTCTCTATTTTAAAGGTGACCCATTTGCTGCCTTTCATCTAGAACTGCACCGATCAGCGCATTCATCAATGAATCAACGGACAGACACCTGATCAGAAACCCCGTGGCCCTACGGCGTGACCCCAGCATGGGTTCTTACCATGACAGCACCTGGTTGTATCCGTACTGGAAGTCCCTCTCCTGGTCTTTGCGGACCGGATAGACCAGCTGGTTCTCGTGGAAGTACAGGACCTTCTTCAGCCGGGCCAGATCCGGTCGGAGAGCCACCAGCTCACACAGGTTCAGGACCGAGCTGCTGAACAGGACTCTGCAGGGGAGAACCAGGAGTCAGCTGTGGAGGCCAGAGACCAAGACCACCGTAAATGATGCTGAAGACAAAAACAAAAGCTTTTTAAACTTGGAACCAACATGAGTGTCCACAGGTGTGACCAGCACTGGAAGAGCCTCCACATACTGACGCTACAGCTTCTACACACTGAGCTTCGTCTCCTTTGTGGTGTTGTTGTGTCTCTGTTGTCGTTTTTTGTGGCATTTTGGTTGTTTTTGGCCTCGTCTGTCATTTCAAGTCTCTTCAGAAGACTTTTGTCTAATTTTTGCCCTTTTGCATCTTCTCATGTTGTGTCCTGTTTCTTGTCCCTTTGTGACAGTTTAGTCTCTTCTTGTCTCCACAAACTGCAGACGTTTCACTTCTTACATTTTACAGCTGGATGTACTGGTTTCATGATCCACCATACTGGATGTACTGGTTTCATGCTCCACCATACTGGATGTACTGGTTTCATGCTCCACCATGCTGGATGTTTTGTGCTGTTTTAAGTCTTTTTTTCCCTTTTGTACAATATTTCTGGTTGTTTTATGTCTTTGGGATACCGTTGTCCCTGTGCGGTCATTTCGTGTCTCATTTTTTGTGTCTCGATAAGAGTTTTGTCTCTTTGTTGTCATTTTTCCTCCATGTACTGTAGATATCTAACTTTTCCTCTCTGCTCTGCTCATCAGATGTAGAAAGATGTTCCACCATCAGCTGAATGTATCTCCACCAACTGGCTCCTCTGTTCTCTGGTTCTGATCCGTGCTGTGTGTATTTACTGATCCAGTAGGTTTTATTTTTCTCTCTTTGTAGAAACACTGGCTGCAGTTCAGCCTGAAAACGCTCCTTGTTGGTCACAGCTAGCGAAGTCACAGAGAATCAGTCGTAACGAGGAGGGAACAGCTTTTATTTTTCTACAGAATCTATCTGATTAAAGGGGTTTTTGGTTCCTTCCCACCAGCGGACTGCTGAAGCTTAGAGGGAATCCAAATGTTTTGGATTGTTGGGTGTTTCTGTCTCTGCCTTTGTGAAGCGCTATGAGATGACTGTTGTTGTAAATATGCGCTATACAAATAAAATTGAATTGAATTGAAAGCAACTGGGTTATTTTGGGAGATTCTGATGATCTATCAGGATTTCAAGCATACTTCTGGTTATTTTTCCTTGATGTCCTTCATGTCACACAACGCATCCGATGACTAAAGATATTTTCTGTTTTTTCCGTTAAATTCGATTCACTGGCTGAAAAATGGTGGCGACTTCTTAGAAAAGAAAGACGAAGATGTCTTTCCAACTCGCTGGCACTTCTTGGGGTTCAGTGGGTTAAACTCATCGATGTTCTGGAGCTCAGGCTTTGAAGCTCCGGATCGCCTCCCCTCCATCACCTCCCTTTTTAACTCAGGATGCTGCACTTTGATGTGGCTTCTCCACGAGCCGTCGCTCAGACTCCAGACCTGGATTAGACTCATTTCCTGGACCTGCGGTAGCAGAGTGGAACAGGAACCGTTCTGACTCAAACCAGATGAGTTATTTTTACTCTGCTGGCAGCCCAGAATATCCCGAGTCTTCCTGTGGAGAGGCAGGTTCAGACCCTCAGCAGAGCTCAGTGAATCCATGTGGACCGAGGAGGATCTGGTTTAACCTCCTGAGATTAAACTCTCAAACAGTTTGTGTTCTGATTCATGTAAAGCAGCCTGGACCTGGAGGCTCCTCAGAGGGATGTACTGACAGGCTGTGTGCTGTAACGTTGGCTGTAGTGAAGTCTTCACAGGGCTCCACACTGCACCACAACGGTCACATACGCTAATCTGTGCGTGCAAGTTAAAGTTTTCTTGTGGTCGCATTTGTGCAACATGCAGCGCAGGTAACTACTGTGTTTGTCATTGTGGTTAAAAGTGACTTTTTCTTCTTCTCTGGTATAGTGGGCCTCAGTGGGTGATGAGTCAAACAAGCCACTGAGCTACTCCAAAGACAAAGATGATTAAAGAATAAAGTGAGGAGGAAGCGGCTGGTGGAGATGGAGAGGTCCGATTCAGAGCCACCTGAGGAGCGCAGGTACAGCTAGAAAGTGCCGCAGTAGTATTATGTTTAATCACAAGGTAGGACCATAAATCATACTTTAATATCAGTGGTACATCTATTAACTTTATTTGCACATTATATAGATGACAATTACAACAGCAAGCGTTCTACACACTAGTGTACGACCGCTGCAAGGGTTACGTCTGCTAACATTATGCACATGTAGGAGTCTAAAATCCAACCTTCTGGATGA